TTTAGATTCCTATAACACATTTATGTTGTGTGATTGGCTCTTAGATCAACACAAAGTAAAAAAAAATCCAGAGTTTATCATTGTTATAGACATAAATGTTATCGTTATTCAATATAACATTGTTTATGGGCCCAGCCACTACACTACACTATAAGCCAGGGGTGCTCAACCCTGTTCCTGGAGATCTACCTTCCTGCAGATTTGAGTTGCAACCCATATTAAATAAACCTACCTGTAATTATCAAGTGCTGTTCAGGTCCTAATAATTAGTTCATTTATGTTTGATCAGGGTTGGAGTTGAACTCTGAGGCAGACATCCAAGAACAAGGTTGAGCACCCCTGCTAAGCAGTGAAGCTTTGGAACAGGCTAATAAAAATACAGAATACACCAACTGTAATAAAAAGAAAACTTATGGAGGATTCTGCTGGAGAATAAAGGAAGTCTGTTGGAAATTAAATGGATATCACGTGGTATCAATTGTTTTTCCTTGTGCATGTTCAATATGCTCTTAAATAGCCTACCTAATTATTTTTGGTTTATATTTATTTAAATAACTTGTTTGCTAGCTGCAGATGTATTTTTGTATGTCAAAAATGAATCAGCCTACTGAAATGAACAGATTTAAACTTATAAACTTGTTTCGGGAAGGTACATCTCCAGAAATGTCTTATATTCGCATTGCTTCTCTGAAGGTTTGGTCTGCTGAGCCGCGGAGCGCCACCTGGAGGATGACCAGTGTGTCTCTCCTGAAGCGATTAGCTGTTGTTGTTAACGGCTCAATAATCGGCCTCCGTATAATGTTTGAGAGCTACGTAAGATTTTGCAGCACGATGTTTCCTGTGGGCAGAACACAGATACTGTAGCGGATCGACTGCAGCTCAAAATCACAATAAGAAATCATTGCCTTCAAGCGAAACACGAGCGTTCAGTCAATACCATATCGACGCATGTTCTTTCAGCTCTTTTAAGATTTTATTGCCAAAATATAAACGCAAAATAATGTGACTTTTATTCGTTTTATTCCTAAGAGTATTACCAATTATTGTTAATAATACATTTATTTTATATATTTGTTATTTAGTATAGTTAGTAGGCTAAAAAGTATCATGCTGCTATATTTTTGACAGGCTTCTGCTTTATTATTATACACTTGTGATCCTGGACTACAAAATCAGTCTCATGTTAAATCTGTTACTTTTGCTAATAGCCAATACATGGGTCAAAGTTATAGATTTATAAATGTCAAAATCCTAAGGATATTACATAAGGATCATGTTGCCTTTATTTTCTTTTGTTATTATACAAAATTAATAATTTATAAGTAGGCTAATGCACATAAGAACATCGTTTAGTCAATTTTAAAGTTGAATGTTTCCATATTTAGATCAGTTTGAACACTCAGAATCCAGATATTCAAATTGTTGACTGTGCAAAAGTGCAACCCTGGTTTGCACTTCTTGCCATGTGCCCTTAATTATAATTGTAATTATAAATATATATATTTTTTACCTATATTTTTTAGATAAATTTTGATTAATTGTCTTTATAATATTATCTGTTATGCACAGTCTGAGAGTAACACAATTTCGATTCTCTGTGCAGTGCATCCGGAAAGTTTTCATAATGTTTCACTTTTTCAACATATTTATATGTTACAGTCTTATTCCAAAATGGATTTAATAAAATTTCCTCAAAATTCTACACACAATATCTCATAATGACAATGTGAAAAATAATATTTTTTGAAATTGTTGCAAATTTATTAAAAATAAAAAAGCTGAAAAATCACATGTACAGAAGTAATCACAGCCTTTGCTCAATACTTTGTTGATGCACCTTTGGCAGCAATTACAGCCTCAAGTCTTTTTGAATATGATGCCACAAGCTTGGCACACCTGTCTTTGGGAGTTTTTGCCCATTCCTCTTTGCTGTACCTCTCAAGCTCTATCAGGTTGGATTGGAAGCGACAGTGTACAGCCATTTTAAGATCTCTCCAGAGATGTTTAATATGATTTAGGTCTGGGCTCTGGCTGGGCCACTCAAGGACATTCACAGAGCTGTTGTGAAGCCACTTCATTGATATTTTGGCTGTGTGCTTTGGGTCATTGGCCTGCTGGAAAATGACCCATCGCTCCAGTCAAGAGCAATCTGAAGCATGTTTTCATTCAGGATGTCTCTGTACATTGCTGCATTCATCTTTCCCTCTATCCTGACTAGTCTTCCAGTTCCTGCTGCTGAAAAACATCCCCACAGCATGATGCTGCCACCACCATGCTTCACTGCAGGGATGGTATTAGCCTGGGGAAGAGCGGTGCCTGGTTTTCTCCAAACATAACACCTGGCATTCACTCCAAAGAGTTCAATTCTAGTCTCATCAGACCAGAGAATTTTGTTTCTTATGGTCTGAGAGTCCTTCAGATGCCTTTTGGCAAATTCCAGGCGGGGGGTGGCTTCCGTTTGGCCACTCTACCATACCGGCCTGATTGGTGGATTGCTGCACAGATGGCTGTCCTTCTGTAAGGTTCTCCTCTCTCCACAGAAGAATGATAGCACTCAGCCAGAGTGACCATCGGGTTATTAATCACCTCCCCAACTAAGGTCCTTCTCCTTTGATCACTCAGCTTAAATGGCCGGCCAGGAAGTCCTGGTGGTTCCAAACATCTTCCACTTACGGATGATGGAGGCCACTGTGCTCATTGGAACTTTCAGAGCAGCAGAAATTTGTTCTGTAATCTTCCCCAGCCTTGTGCCTCGAGACAACCCTGTCTCAATGGTCTACAGGCGATTCCTTTGTCTTCATACTTGGTTTGTGTTTTGTATGCACTGTCAACACTGGGACATTATATAGACAAGTGTATGCCTTTTCAAGTCATGTCTAATCAACTGAATTTACCGTGGTGAAATCCAAATAAGCTGCTGAAACATCTCAAGAATGATCAGTGGAGACAGAGAGTACCTGAGCTCAATTTAGAGCTACATGGCAAAGGCTGTGAATACTTAATTACTTTTTATTTTTAATAAATTTGCTACAATTTCAACAAATTTTTTTTCACATTGTCATTATGGGGTATTGTGTGTAGAATGTTGAGGAAATAAATGAATTTAATCCATTTTGGAATAAGGCAACATTAAAAAAATGTGGGAAAAGTGAATCGCTGTGAATACTTTCCAGATGCACTGTATGTCCTGTATGTGGTTGAATTGACAATAAAGCTGACTTAGACTAGTTGTAACTCAGCAAAATATTGTCCTATCCTAAAAAGTATACATTATTGGGAATATTATTTATTCAGTTTTCTGGTGATGTATAGATCTCAATTGAAAAACACACAAATGTTTGAATTTGTGGTCCAGGGTCACATATTTTCTAATAACAATAAATACAGTTAAGGAAATCATTCAGTTTTGATAGCTAAGTACAGATTTTTGATGCATCATTGCAGTTCTCAGTGGGCAACTAAAGTTGTTACTGTTAAAGTTTAACAAAAATTTTATTGCAACAATTTGTTAATTTGAATAAATTATGCAAATTTAAGACATGACTAGCAATATTATCAAGCACATCATATTTCCTCATATAAAAAACAAACAAACAAACAAATAAATAAATAAATAAATAAATAAATAAATAAATAAATAAATAAATAAATAAATAAATAAATAAATAAATAAACAAACAAATAAATAAATAAATAAATAAATAAATAAATAAATAAATAACTGCTTATATGTAAAAATGAAAGCAGGGGTTTGGGTCTTTAACTCTGGTTCGGAGGAGCTGTTCAGTTTTTGGTGCTGAAAGCGTTTTTCACAGGAGGGCAAATAGCGGCCATACTGGTGGAAGTAGGTAATGCAGGGAACACGGTGTGCCGTCATGAAGGTCTTTTTAGGTCGTGGGCTTTTCTGCATGGACAAAATATTTGCTCACCAATGTCAAGGTCACCGTGAGTGTGTGCTTGTATATGTGTAAAGCCAATATGGACAAAGACAGAGAGTGTGAAGGATTCAGTGCTATAAAACTACTTTCAAAGGTTTTAATTTCAGCTTTACTGCTGTAAGTGTTGATCACAATAAATGCTATATGCAATTTTATCTTTAATTTAATAGTCAAGTATATATCAGAACAACTTTTTTCTTAACTTTGTGAATGATCTTATTATTGAATTATTACTAATTTGCCTCAAGGCATAATTAGCTTTTGGTTTTACTAACAAACTAAAACAAAATGAATGGATGAATGGATGAAGGAATGAATGAATGAATGAATGAATGAATGAATGAACCAACGAATGAACGAACGAATGAATTTAAAAGCTAGAAGCTGTGGTGATTGTGTTTTTGTTATTACATAAAAAAAATGAAACAAAATTACACTTAGCAAACATTGTTACGCTGACAAACAAAAACTATACCAATTAGGGCACAAACTAACACACTGAGGAATAACTTCTACCCAAGAGCAGTAGCCTGTATTTATTTATTTTAGTTTATTTGTTCTTTATGTCTTATTGTGTCTATAAGCTGCCAAATTTCATTGTACAACACTACAATGGCGATAAAGTTCTAATTCTACTAACTTGAGGCTAACTAAAAGCCATAAAATGCAAAATATACACAAATATGAATAAAACAATCTAACAATTCCCACTTTGCAATAAATAAAATTTAAATGTATGAATATTGCATTATTAAACAGGCCTATTTTTTTCTAAATGCTTCTAAAACGTTTTAAAAACATTTAAAGTGTAATTACGCCATTATAAATAACATCTTTAAAGTATATAGTAAACATAGTTCAGTTACTCATTAGTAGATCTTACCGTAACACTAATTCAACACACTACTGTAATACAGTTTGCTAACTTGACTACATTTCCCACCTCTCATTGTAGTCGTCTTAGAACTGACCAATCATAGGTCTGAATTCATGGGGGCGGTACTCAAATTTGGTTGTGTGACGCATTCTCCAAAACTGATTGGTTAAAATAACTGCCAATCATCTAAAGACGATCCGCAATGACAACGCTAGCGGTTACTTGACTAGGAAGTAGTAGAAGTTGTAGTGCGAAGATGTTTAATTAACAGCCTTCAGGATTTCTTAATACGTCGTAGCCGGTCATGTGGAAACATAGCATTATTTTTTGGATACGTTTAATCGACCGGTAGTTTCTCTCTCGCCTTAAACGTTGTTCTGTATTCGCGGGCATATGTTTCATTGTGCGCTAGTGATAGCGGTAACTTACATGTGCGTTAATTCATGCTCGTTTAATGCTGCTTCTGGGGCGTGTCGGAGCACTTCGTTATAGCGGTTCCGTTCTCTCACTTTCTTTAATACACATTGGATTTCTAGCGCGTAAGATTATGAATTCTGGCCAGACAGTGAAGTGCTTGAGTGATACAGCTGGAAATGTGGGCATACGCGTAAAGGATGACGCGGATTCGGACAGACTCGTTGGTGGAGACTCGCTGATGGTGGCGGAAGAAAGACACCCGAGATCGGCCAGTCCCAGAGGCACAAACGGGGATGATGACTCCGAAGCGGAGTCCCACCAGGACGGGCGTAACGTGGATGTGGACCCGGATACCAGGAGGAGGGCGTTCAGCTGGTGCCGTGACTTTCTGTCCGGGTCATGGAAAGTTATAACGGAGCATGACTTCCAGATTAAAATAGTCAGGTAACTTTTCAGTAAATATCATACAGTTATTTAGTGTTAAATGCTGCTAGATCTGGGAGTTGTCTGGTTTCTACTCTGCACAATGTATTTGTGAATAAATAAATGAGTCAAATGTTACAGTAAAGATTATACTTTAAAAGAAGTATACATTTTATGATCATTTGCTACATAATTTGATCTCACTTTAAAAATGGCAATGACTCTATTTTTTTTCCCATCAAATTAAATTGACAAATTATATTATTTATCAGCATATATATACACGATTACACCCCATTTAAAAAATGAATATTTTTATCCATTTCTCAGTGAGTATGGGTAATATATATTGTTCCATTTGAACAAAACAGATTTAATAAACATATATTTATTAAAATAATATTTTAGGCACACAATATTTTTAGAAATAGAAAGATAATACATTAAAATTTATGTGAAATATTGCAAAAAAAAAATGTTTCTCTTGATTTTTGCTATTTAAAAATAATAATTATTTAATATTTTTCCCTAGCATATAAATTTGGGTTATTAGTTTTTGAAACATTATTGTACGTTATTTTGTTAGATTACCTCCAGATTTGACTTCAGTACTGAATAAACTAATGTATATGCACAAATATAATATTGTAAAGCATCCTAAAGAAAATATTAATTTTAATTGAAAGATTTGTGGGGGGTGTACACACACACACACACACACACACACACACACACACACACACACACACACATGAAGTTGAAATCAGAATTATTAGCCCCTGTTTGATTTTTTGTTCTTTTTCCTTTATTAAATATTTCCCAAATCATGTTTAACAAAGCAAGGAAATTTTCACAGTATGTCTGATAATATTTTTTTCTTCTGGACAAAGTCTTATTTGTTTTATTTTGGCTAGAGTAAAAGTAGTTTTAAATTTTTAAAAACTATTTTACGGTGAAAATTCTTAGCCCCTTTAAGCTATATTTTTTCCGATAGTCTAGAGAACAAATCATCGTTACACAATAACTTGCCTAATTACACTACCTGCCTAGTTGACCAAATTAACCTGGTTAAGCCTTTAAACGTCACTTTAAACTGTATAGAAGTGTCTTAAAAATATCTGGTGAAATAATTTTTACTGTCATCACAGCAATGATAAAATAAATCAGTTATTATAAATGAGTTATTAAAACTATTAGAAATGTGTTAAAAGAATCTGCTCTCTGTTAAACAGAAATTGGGGAAAAAAATAAAACGGGGGGCTAAGAATTCAGGGGACTAATAATTCTGACTTCAACTATATATATATATATATATATATATATATATATATATGTGTGTGTGTGTGTGTGTGTGTGTGTGTGTGTGTGTGTGTGTATATGTGTGTATGAGTAAAGTGTCTTCTGACCTGTACTTGAGATATATACAGAAGTCATGATGATACTACTTTTTTATTGAATTTTAAATTAGTAAAAACTTATTCCTGATAAAGGAGACACTGAGGGCTTTGAAAGCAAAGTATAAAGATTTAAAATGACAATTAATTAGTATTTATTTGTTAGCTGCACCATTATCTTCATTTTAAATGTCATCAAATCATTCTCGTCTTAAATATGCCTGACAGAATATACTGGCATATAAACTTTTGTCACACTATTGAGTATCTTCTGTAAATAATGGTAAAAATGTGTAATAATCATTATGTTTTGTTAAGAAACATAATGAATCAACAATTTGTATTAAAACTTTTTACCACCATGTTTAGAAACTCCATGCTTGACCTCTTTGTTCAGTCCAGTGGATCTTGAAGGTTGTTATATGAGCAACTGATATTATTATCTCGAGGACTTTAGCCGTACACTTTTCTTTTTTTTTTACATTGCTTAAAAATTGACTTTCAATGTAGGTTAATCAAAGTTATTTTGTATTGTTAACAAGCTGCTTTGTAATGATAAAAATTGTGAAAAGCAATATACAAGTAAACGTGAATTATTCTCTATTTTTCTTTATTACCATGAAATCTCCCTCAGTTGTAATCCATGACTAGAAATCGCTCTATAATGTATCTGCAGTGGAGGACTCAGTAACCTGCTGTACATGTGCAGTTTACCAGATGATGTTAAGCCGGCCGGGGTTGAACCTCGAAGAGTTCTGCTCCGTATCTATGGGGCCATTTTACAGGTAGGCCACGCTGACATCATCATAAGTCAAGTAGACCAAAAATCCTGCTGTGAAAATATATAAGCTGATAAGAGTCTGTATATTGAACGAGATGTTTATTGCCCAGCGTTGTTTTTCATTGATCTTATATAACTAATGGCTATCTAATCATGCTATGGGTGTTTGCTCAAAGGCATTAGTCTCTCTATGTTCAAACACACAGGGCGTGGATTCACTTGTTTTGGAAAGTGTGATGTTTGCCATTTTAGCAGAGAGAGAGTTGGGCCCGCGTCTCTATGGCATTTTCCCAGAGGGTCGTCTGGAGCAGTATTTGCCCGTGAGTCAAAAATCTAAGATACTACATGCATGTTGTAAAGTTAAAGTTTCAACACAGCTACACTCGAATAATGCAGTCATGCCACAAGTTTTAGATGAAACACTGCACATTCAGCCCCTTTCTGCAAGTACACAGTCCAGTCAAATTAATGTAACCAACACCTACTTTCAACGTCAGCCAGAAATGGTCTGGGGAATGTTTTCATGGCATGCCCTGGGTGCACTCATCATTGTGGAAGGCACAATGGATCAATGGAAGTATGTTTCTGTCCTTGTGGACCATGTCCATTTCTACATACCTACATGTTTTTTCCTCAACATAAGGGTATCTTCCAACAGGACAATGCATTACAGGTTTAAGTGCATGATTCATAGAGCACCAGGATGAGTTTACAGCACTCATCTGGCCCTCAAACACACCAGACTTGAACCCAATTGAGAATCTGTGGGACCACCTTGATCAGATTGTCTTTGCCTTGGATCCTCAACCATGTAAACTGGTTGACATGGCTTTTACATCCCTATGAATGACCTTCCAAAACCTCATTGACTCTCTTCCTGCCCATCTTACAGCATTCTGTGCTACGAATGCTGGTTATTTTGGCTTTTGACAGGTGGTCACATTAATGTGACTAGACTCTATATAATGTAAGGGTGTTACATTATATAGACCCCCCTTAACTAGGGTTGTAACAATATACCGGTATGACGGTTTACCACGATTTGAACGTGCACGATTATCATACCATGAACAATTGCATATCAACGGTTTTAACCCTTAAAGACCGAGACAGCCGCCCGCGGCTAAAAATAAGTATTGCTCTTAAATGTTTAATAACTTTTGATCCGCTGATCCGATTCATACAATTCAAAGATTGGCATAAAGAAGAGAATCTCAGCTTTCCAGTGCTGCATCACATAACATTCGCGGACTTTCAGAGGCTCCGGAATCAGTGCGGTTACGTCATCAACATTTGACAACGCTGATTTGACAAAGAAACGCTCGTCACTGTGTCTCCGGACAAATCAGACATGATACATTGATGCATTATCCCTCCTCCATGCCCAGATTGGTTCAAACTCGCTATATCACAACCAATAAGCATAGGTTTCGCTTTTGTTTGTGGACCAAGCTTTTTGAACAACACGGAATGAGAGAAAGGCATACATTTATGCGCGGCTAAATAAAGCGCAAAAAAAAAAGTTTGGCATGAAATAATTCTCATACTAAGTACTTTTGCATGCACAGCAGCACAGAAACATGACAAAACAGTGACACAGCAAAGACGAAGTGCTGCTCTTGCTGTTTTTAAAAGACGCAAATGAAGATGCAGCGGTTTGTCAGTCTGCATTGCAGACAACCATATCGAAATCCATATTCATAGACAACCATATCCATGCTGGCACATAAAACCTGAGGATGTTCCATATTGAATCTAGTTTCGTTATGTAACTATTTATAGTATAGTAAATATTTATATCTATTTTTTACTGAGGATTTGCACCATGTTTATTTGGACTTTATTTGGACTTTGACACATTATTTATTATTTTCTTATTTTTATTTGTTCATTGTAAGTGGTGTTGTTTATAGTAACTAAAAATATATTATTTGGAAAAAGTCAAATTTGCTTCACTGTTCTATTATTTTGTAACATTTGTAACATACCGTATACCGCGAAACCGTCAAACCGTGGTATTGTTTTAGACGATTATCATACCGTGAAAAATTCATACCGTTACAACCCTACCCTTAACTGAATACTGTACTGTAGTCCACCATTGTTGCTTTTCTTTTAGTCAAGTATTCACTCATGTCTATGTAGAACTGAACACACAATACGCATACAGATTTGCATAATCATTTTCACATAATAGCAAAGACTAGGGCTGTGTGTTTAATTAAAATCAATTCGCAGTTTGAAACGTTGCGATTAGCTAATGGAAAGAGGCTGCGAATTATATGTTACTTATCTTCCCCCACCCAGAGAAAATGCAAGACTGCCATCTGTGTGTGACAGTTTTACTAGCCAATTGAGTGAGCACACTTTCGTTCTACCCAATCAAAATTGTGAAACTGAACTATGAGGAACATCCACAAACAGGAAAGTGCGGACAAGTGGGATGATGGCGTCTGCCACTACAAAAGCATTGATAAGCGAACAGTGTTGCCAGATTGAAATAGTTTTTTGTGGGTAAAAAATGGCCTAGGCGGGTAGTGAAAAATTGGACAGTTTTGCAACGGCGTGCCCGCCAGCCCCGGCCTTCATTTATAAACCTGTTATGATCTCCCAAAGAGATACCATAACCCCTGTTCTTCACGTACAAAATACAAAAACATACAACAGTCGTGATCTCTCAATAAGACCTCGGGTTTTAGGTTTTGGGCTGGAGTCACTCTGCTACATCTGGCAACACTGTAAAGGAATAATATCAAAGAAAAACAGGACGTCTGTAATATGGGAATATCTTGGTTTCAAAGTCACAGACACTGAATAAAACCAGGTAATTTGTAAGAGCTGTCGTAGAATTCTTGCCAATGCCACGAGGAAATACAACAACCAGCACCTAAAAAAGCACCACAGATGGCTATATGAGGAGTATCTTGCTAAAAAGTCAACTAAAAGTATTGCCAGTGACACTCAATCTAGTAGCAAGCAAAGTACAATTTCAGAGTTGTTTGCTAATATTACTTAATATCTTTTCAGTTCAGTGACTACAAAATTAAATCGCAAATCAAATCAAAATCACAATATCGGTCAAGAAATCATTATTATTTTTTATTTTTTTCCCCAAATCACAAAGCCCTAGCAGAGACCCCCCTCCCCACCAATGCATGCATGCATGAAAAGTTTTCTGTTTCTAAGTGAAAATGATGCAATATCTGCCCCTCTTCTACAGAGCAATCGTTTGCGTACAGAGCAGCTGTCATACTCTCAGATCTCAGCCGAAATAGCCAGTAAGATGGCACGATTCCATGGCATGGAGATGCCATTTAACAAGGAGCCCAAATGGCTGTTTGGAACCATTGACAGGTAAATGTCATCAGTTTACCTAAAACCCTATGGTTATGTCAACACACATAACCTTCCTGCTTTTTACGGTCTAAGGTGATATGTGTTATTCTTAAATGCATGCATCTATCCTAGATAAATATGTGGATTAATAATATTATTATTAATAAAAATAAAATAATAGTCTGAAAAGATAAGAGCTAATGTGATCTGGAAAATACAGACATTTTGATGACACAGAAATCAGTTTCATAATACTTTCAAACAAATAATAGAATTTTAAAATGGCTGATTGGAACTTTTGACAGGTAATTGTCTTATAAATGTCTTCAATTTACCTAAAAACCCCATGGTTATGTTAACACGCATAACCTTCCTTTTCTAATACAAGGTCAAAGGTGATTCTTCAATGCATGCATTTATCCTAGATAAATATGTAGATTAATCATCATAATATTATTTTTAATAATAATAATAAAATTAATCTATAATCTATAGGGATCTATGTGACCATTGTGGGTGCACACATTCTGAAATCAATGCTCAAACAATATATTGTGCAGCCCTAGTTTGTAGTTCTTTACTAGTCCATATTTAATTAGCTGTATTACAATTATAAATGAGACTAACACTCTTGTGTAGATCTTAAATTTCTTCTTAATGGTCTATAAAATGTCTTTAAAAGCTTTCTATTTGATATGGTGAAACATGCATAAACCCTGAAAATGGGTTTATAATAATTTACTGAAAAAGATATTACTAGTCGATAAAACATAGAAAGACAGTCTGAACTAGTTTAATCTGGAAAATAGACATTTTGATGACACTTAATTTAGGAAGTCATCCACGATCTTCTAAAATTATATTTGAACGAAATAAAGAGGAAATTTTTTTGGTGTGTGTGTGTGTGTTTTAATAGGCTTCAGTATTTAAATGACTGTTTGCGTTTGTCCTTCTAAACAGGTATATGGATCAAGTTAAGACATTGAAATTTGTGCGTGAAGCTCACATCAAGAAATTCAACAAGCTGATGAAGTATGATCTTCCTGCAGAACTGGAAAGTCTGAGGTGAGAGAGATATGTGCAGTGCATAAAAGAAACTGAAAGGATATTTGGAAAACATGCCGCCGTCACAGATCAAGTACTCAATATATTCAGTTTTCTCTATGTAAACAACACTGTTCAAAGTTTTGGGGTCAGCAAGATTTTTTCAGGACTGCATTTATTTGATATAATATATTTAATTTATTAAATATATTAAACAATTTGCAAAGGCAGATTTTTAGGTGCCATTACAAGTGGTGTAAAGTAACAAAATACAAATACTTACGCTACTATAATTGAGTAGTTTTTTCAGAAATTGTAATTTACCAAGCAGTTTTAAAAATTTATACTTTTACTTTTGCTTGAGTGCATTTTTAGTGCAGTAATGGTACTTTTACTCCACTACTTTCCTTCAACCTGCAGTCACTGTTGTTTCTTGTCTATGGGGATTGGCTGAGTAGAAAAATCAGTTTTGTGATTCCTGTTCAATCAAATCCCTCATAGAAGGTAAATCTCATCATAATGAACTCCCTCAAGACATGGGCAATATATAATTGCAGCAAACTGTTTGTAAGCATTAAAAAATGTTCAAGATGTCCAAAATCTTTACACTTATCGACCCGGAGACTGTTTTCAACATGTCACTGATAAAAAGATGACGGATATTTACTTTAAAGGGCCATGAAACCCCCTCGTTTCAGCAGGGTGTTTTCACACCTCTACTATGGAAAAAGTCAGAAAAGTGGGCGTGTCCAGCTCTGTTTAGGGGGGTGTGTCGGAGGAAGAAAAGAGGCTTGGTGTGTGAGTGTCTATTTGGGTGCGCTGAATTTTAGAGTCAAAACACACAACCACAGCGGACAATGTGACTGTGTTTACATGGACATCTGTTGTCGAATTATTTGCCAAATTATTAAATGGTGGACTTTAACTGCAGTTTGGCTCTTTCATTCAGGGAATTCATTCATGTCCCTCCCGACAAACGAGATATTTGATTCGAGGAGCTGCTCTAAGCGTGTATTTTTCATGCAATGTTTGATACCGCACGGTGAATGAGAGAAAAAAAAACTCAGCATTTCCCGGAAACTTAGATGCACACGGCAGGTAGCGTCAGAAAGCAGCGTGTGTTATTCCGGTCACAAAATCCAACACGAGGTTATAGTTTGGTTGTAACTGTTAGTGCTAACTTGTTTACACTGGTGCAATAGTTTGTTTGATACGAATAAAATACAAACTGAATAAACAAAGAGCACTGGTTGCTCACTTACCAAATCTGTAGAGACAGGACAATCACCAGCAACTAGAGCCGCGTCTTTATTTAGAGGAGACCACAAGCGAATCCAGATCTCAGCGTTTGCAGATGAGAACAGCTCTCAGGTGAACAATAATCCTCCTTAGACACGTAAGTTATTGTTGTCAAGCGTCGCGTACACTGTTAATCCACACGTGAGTCTGCGCTCTCACAGAGAGAAAATGAAAACAAAACTTAACGGCAGCAAACAATAAAAGCAACACTTCACGCTTGTTTTGCCAACACAACATGGCGTCTCTGCCGTCTACACTCTGACAGCAATGAATATTAATGAAGTTGCACAATAGAGCACGCTGATTGGTTTGAACCAAGCCTTACTCATGCATTAATGCATCACACTGTAAGACGTAATAAGACTCACTCTGGCACAGACGCCCAGTCTGCACGCTGGAATACAACGCTATTATGTCATGGTCGTGACGCAGCTTCAAAAATTAGTTTCAAACCGGAAATACGAATTTGCTTGAAATAACGCAAAAACAACCAATTTACACTTTTTAGTGAAATATAGGTGTCCTAATAGTGTTTTTAGCAGTGTGGGACACATATACGACTGTCAACAGCTCAAAAAATGTGTTTTGGTGTTTCGTGACCCTTTAAGTTCCCCGAAATGGCCTAAACACTCAGCAAGCACTGGCGTTGTACCTCAACGTCAGTAGGGTTTTTGCATTTTGTTTGGAAACAAACATTGGGTTGATGTCAGAACACAACCGATGTCAATGTCCAACTTAAAATCAACCAAATATCAACATCTGATGATGTTAAAGCTTGTCTATTAGATGTTGGATTTTGGTTGCCATCCCTGATGAATAATATTTGACCATACCATACTTGAAACCGTATTTGACGTCAATATGACATTGGTTTAAGATGTTAGCTAGACGTTGGATTTTGGTCACTTTCCAACACAACCTGAATTGAATTTTGGTCACCTGACGTCAAGACCTAAATCTAACCTAATATTAACGTCTTATGCACTACAGAATGTTACGTTTACACACATCCACAAATTAGATGTAAATGCATCAGCTTTTTACAGCGTAATACTCATACTACTTTGAGTAATATTTACAATAGGTATGTTTACTTGCACTGTGTTTTTAGGCAAGTCTTGGTACTTTTACTTGAGTATGATTTTTCAGTACTCTGTCCGCAGCTAGCCATTACTTTAGTCTGTAGGTCTCATGATCCTTTAGAAGTTGTTCTAATATGTCAATTTGCTTCTCAAGAGATCTTGATTATCATTGCTAAAAAATGTTGTGCTATGTAATATATCTGGAAACTGAAACATTTTCTTTCTTGTTTCGTTAATAAACAGAAAGTTCAGCATTAATGTCAGATAAAAACCTTTTGTAACATGATGTACTGTCACCTAAGAACTTTAAGGTTCTGTCTGACATTTTTGTCAAAATTGAGTTATTGACATATTCTTATTAAATTACAACTAATTTAAATATCATTTAATTGATAATTGTTTTTAAACATTTCAACAATTACAACAGACATTTGATCTGTCAAGTACCCATTTTTTTATATTTACAAGCTCACAGTTCTGCCCAGAAGAATTTTATATCATTTCCTATTGAACCACCAACTTCCCTGATAGAAACCTTTTTTTCTACAGAACCCATTTATGAAAGGAGGAATTTCAATTATATATAATAAATTATCTGAGTTAGAAAGTGATGTTTCATTAAAGCATCTCAAAATGGCATGGGAAGAGGATCTCGGAGCAGAAATTGGAAATTGGCTATGGGAGGCAGCACAGGAACAAGTTTGTTCTAGTTCTGTGTGTATCAGGCATGGTTTAATACAATTTAAGATTCTGCACCGGCTCCACTTGTCTAAATTAAAGCTCTCTAAGATGTTCCCTGCCGTAGACCCACTGTGTGACAGATGCAATCAAACCCTTGCATTGTTTGGTCGTATGTTTTGAAGTTGTTCTAAAATTGTTGATTGTTGGATTTCAGTTGTTTAATTTATATCAGAAGTGTTGGGAAAACACATATACCCTGAGCCTATTTTAGCTATGTTTGGTGTCAGCGATGATGCAGATTTATCTAATAATCAACGTACAGTGATTACATTTATAACCCTTTTGGCACGTAAATTGATTTGACTAAATTGGAAAGGAAAAGATCCTCCACGGTGCTCCACATTAATAAAGGATGTCATGTCCTGTCTGCAACTTGAAAAGCTAAGGTTTTCCCTAAAAAATAAAACAAAGAATTTCCGTGTAATATGGAATCCATTTATTGAGTACTTTAACAAGAGAGCAGTGATTGAACCCTTGTAAATACACCTCAAATACCCCCCTTATTTAATTCTTTTATTTTAATTTAATTTTTTTACTTTTTTCTCTCCTCTTCTTTCTATTTTTTTGCCCCTTCCCCCCACTTTTCTGTGTTTTTTAGATCTCATACATATAAGCTTAACATGATGTTACAACTTTGTGCGTAAAAGAAAAAAGTACACATCATTGGCTGCCTGTGCAATTCAGAATTGATTTTAAAGTGCTTTTATTGGTTTATAAATCCCTCCATAATCTAGCCCCATCCTATCTCTCAGAGCTGCTTCATCTTTACACTCCTGTGAGATCTCTTAGGTCAAGTGAGCAGAATCTTCTTTCAGTTCCACAGTCTAGGCTGAAACATAGAGGGGACAGAGCTTTCTCTGTGGCAGGTCCTCGGTTGTGGAACCCCTTGCCCCCTGAGATTAGAAAGGCTCCAACATTATCCATTTTTAAATCGCTTCTTAAAACGTACCTTTTAAGCTTGGCTCTTTAAGATTATTTTAATAGTTTATTCTACCACTATTTTTAAAAAATATATTTACAAATGTTTCTCTTGCCTTATTTCTATGCTTTTATATTGTCTTTTTATTTCTTTTTACCTTGTCTAATGTACAGCACTTTGGTCAGTCTTGTGACTGCTTTTAAATGTGCTTTATAAATAAATGAACTTGAACATTATGAGATTTTTTTTTTTTTAAGTTGTTTACATTTTAAGTCTTTTTATTTAAAAAACAAATGTTACACACATACTGTTTGCTATACGGACCGCAAAAACTTTGAAGCTCAATATCTTAAAATCATTCAGAAGGCAGATAAAACCTTATAATTCCAAGGTGTAGATATGTCTTTATTATAACTTTTGATTATGCAACATTGCAAAATAAAAGAAAAAAAAAAATCTTAGAACTTTTTTTTTTTAACCTGTTCCAATAAGCTAATGAAAAGTAGTGTATGTGTATTTGCATGTTAACACCCTTAATCCAGTTCCAGGCATCAGTGATTTACACACTTACAGGAAGCTGCATTCTGCACATACTCAGCCTGCTTGGTCAATCACACACATGATTGTGTAACACTTCTCTGAATGAAATGCTTTCGCGTGTGTGTGTTCTGTTCCTGTTCTTTCTATTCAATGTGCTTTTATACAATCATTTTAAAAGCAGCTTGATAAAACCAATATAATGAAGTAAGACATTATCTGTTTTTGGTCAGGTCACTGCTGGCAGCTACCCCCTCTCCTGTGGTGTTCTGCCATAATGACGTTCAGGAAGGTACAAGATCTCATTCACACATGCATGCCAGCCTGATCTGGTTATCTGATATGGGTCTGCCAGTCAGTTGTGTTGTACCATTATGCAACACATCTGCCCTTTCACCTATAAAACCATACTCTGTTCTGCAGGGAACATTCTCATGTTGGACGGCCGGGAGAATTCAGCTGACAAGCTAATGCTTATCGATTTTGAATACAGCAGCTATAATTACAGGTAAAACTGCAGTATGTGCATACATGTGAATAGGGGTGATGCAAACAATAGCAGGATTTCCACTGGATCTTAATGTAAAACAATTCATAATCAAAAAGGTATTATATAAATAGTGGTAAACAGGTCTTAATTGTCCTATAATATCCTGTATCTCTATCTATTAATACTCATTTTTTTATTTGGTTGTAGTTCTTTCTTAGCCCATATTTAATTAGCTGTATTACGATTACAAGTGAGACAAACTTTCTTGTGTAGATCTTAAAAAATCTTTCTTAATGGTCTATAAAATGTCTTTAAAAGCCTCATCCTTGATATGGTAAGACATGCATAAACCCTGATAATATAGATTCAGTGGTACTAGGTGGTTGTAATCCTATGCCCTCATTTAAATTAAGGTTATTGGCACCTCTGGAAAATGTCAATAGCATTTCTTCAGTTTAAGATGCGTGCAGCTTGGATAACCTAAACTTTTATTTTGCCCCCTAAATGCAGAGGCTTTGATTTTGGGAATCATTTTTGTGAATGGATTTATGACTACACATATGACCAGTGGCCTTTCTATAAGGCAAAGGTGGAAAATTATCCTAACAGAGAACAGCAGGTGAGTCACAACCACCTACACTTACTCAGCCTATCATTATTATTCTTAATATTATGGCAGAATACACACACACACACACACACACACACAAATGTATATATAGATCAAATCTATAGAACGATACTGTCAAGTAATTATCTACATGAATAAAATATCACAGGGTGAAATGTAAAATGAGGAAATCAAAGACTATCCTGTATTGGCAAGTAAACATGTATATATGAAACATAAAAAAAAAAATCTAATTTTAAGTTATTTTTGTCCCTTTTATACTGGAGGAGATGGATACAAATTTCCTAAAACATATACATTATTATTAAATTAAATCTGCACAAGCAGCCTAGCATCAGCACAAATTATATATATATATATATATATATATATATATATATATATATATATATATATATATATATATACTTTGAGCATTATTTGGATTGTTTTTTGTTTAACCCGTGGATATGTATGTGTTGTACACATACACTCGCCGGCCACTTTATTAGGTACACCTTACTAGTACAGGTAGACCCTCTTTTGCCTTTAGAACTGCCTTAATTATTTGTGGCATAGATTCAACAAGATACTGGAAATATTTCTCAGAGATTTTGGTCCATATTGGCATGATAGCATCACAGTTTCTGCAGATTTGTCGGCTGCACATCAATGATGCAAATCCCCCATTCCACCACATCCCAAAGGTGCTCTTGGATTGAGTTCTGGTGACTGTGGAGGCCATTTGAGTACAGTGAACGCATTGTCATTTTCAAGAAACCAGTCTGAGATCCAGTTATGCTGCTGGAAGTAGCCATCAGAAGATGGGTACACTGTGGTCTTAAAGGGATGGACATGATCAGCAACAATACTCAGGTAGGCTGTGGCATTGACACGAAGCTCAATTGGTACTAATAGGCCCAAAGTGTGCCAAGAAAATATCCCCCACACCATTACACCACCAGCCTGAACCATTGGATGGATCCATGCTTTCATGTTGTTGACGCCAAATTCTGACCCTACCATACGAATGTCGCAGTAGAAATCGAGACTCATCAGACCAGGCAATGTTTTTCCAATCTTATAATGTCTAATTTTAGTGAGCCTGTGTAAATTGTAGCCTCAGTTTCCTGTTCTTAGCTGACAGGATTGGCACCCGGTGTGGTCTTCTGCTGCTGTAGCCCATCTGCCTCAAGTTTGGTCATGTTGTGCATTCAGAGATGCTCTTCTGCAGACCTTAGTTGTAACGAGTGGTTATTTGAGTTACTGTTGCTTTTCTATCAGCTGGAACCAGTCTGGCCATTCTCTTCTGACATCAACAAGGCATTTGCACCCACAAAACAGCCGGTCACTGGATATTTTCTCTTTTTCGGACCATTCTATATAAACCCTAGAGATGGTTGTGCATGAAAATCCCAGTAGATAAGCAATTTCTGAAATACTCAAACCAGCACGTCTGGCACCAACAACCATGCCACGTTTTAAATCCTTTTAAAATCACCTTTTTTTCCCATTCTGATGCTCTGTTTGAACTGCAGCAGATCGTCTTGACTATGTCTACATGCCTAAATTCATCGAGTTTCTGCCATGTGATTGGCTGATTAGAAATTTGCACGGTGAGCAGTTGGACAGGTGTACCTAATAAAGTGGCCGGTGAGTAACTAGTGCAGCTGTCATTTGGTAAAACTGACATCTAGTGGAAAGTTTTAGAACTGACGTGACACAAAAAGTGTGTCAAAGGTTAACCCAGTAACTCTTCCATAGAGGTCAGCCTGACTGACACAAGGTTAACATTTAACAGTGTAATATGTTTTTGCCTTAATGTTTATATAATTGGCGCAATATTTATTTAATTGACACAATATTTGATTTTAAGATTTCAATCCTGATGTGAAGTCATTGGAAAGTCTTTTAAGATATCTGATATCTAGATTTAACAAAAAAAAAAAAACATGTTATATTTGTTTAGTTACATTTTATCAGACACTATCTGTCAGAAAAAGGGGGTGTTTCACCAGCAGACCAGGCCAGGATAGAAGAGGACATGATCATCGAAGCTAACCGGTAGGAATCGTGTTTACTATTAGACTTTTGTTGACATAACATGGGAAGAACATTTGCTGAATTTTCACCTCTACCTAGTAACCTTTCTCTCTGTTTCTCTTTTTATCTCTCGAACTCGCATGCACACAAACAGGTTTGCCCTTGCGTCTCATTTCCTCTGGGGTTTATGGTCCATTATTCAAGCTAAGCTCTCCAAAATCGAGTTTGGATACATGGTAATCTTCTAAACACTGTATCATTACACACACAACCTCAAATTTCTTATACTGTACTAAAAATTACAATGAAATTACCTGAAACACAAATCAAATTTATTGCATATTATTGACCCGTGATTAAATGTGATTACACTAATTTTAATTCAAATTATTTTTAAAGTGAATTAATTAATCTAAAAAGATAACATTTTTAAAAAAGTAAAATATTAATATTTAATTTTTAAAAGTGATGTTACTTTACGCGTTACTCAGAAAAATGTTATTATTAAACAGCTTGCGTTGCTTGTAATGCGTCACCCTTAACACTGAAAATAGTAAAAGTTTATAATAATTTAGCAGAATCCTATCTTTGTAGAACTTTCTGACCCCAGAGTTATACATGTTATATTTACAGATTAATAAATGTTTACAGCAGTGTGTTTGCTGCTTTGGGCTGGGCAATTAATCGAAATGTAATGGAAATCGACATTCTAAATCAATAGTCGATCTAATTTTCCTGGTCATTTTTTTTCAGTTGCTTACCCTACTGAGTGTGGAGTCACGTGACCCCGCTCTGTCTGTTACTTTTGTCTTACTTTGCACTACATTGACGATGATTGGATGCTGTGCCAGACATGCCTCAAGACGACATATTTTCCATTACATTAAAATTCATATTTTAATTAAAAATTTTTTTTTTACAGAAGATACAAGAAATGCATGGTTTAAAATAATATGTACAGGATATACAAGAGTTATTTTATTTAGAAGAGATGCTGCTTATTTTCTACTTCTAATAAGAAAAACACTGAAAATAATAAATAATATTTATTTTCATTTTTTCACAAAAAAAAAAAAGAGTGTTCGTTTTAGGCAACATATGTTTAAAATTCAGTTGTTTAACGTTGATGTTCAATAAATAATCATAGATAGTAGATAGTGTGTGTGTGTGTGTTTCCTTCAATTACAGTATTTTCAAATCAATTAATGCACCCTTTATTCAAAGATCTCTCTCTTGTGATATGTGAGCACATTTACTCAACAAAACCTGTCTGGGAACTGTGAGGACAAAAAAAATAAATAAAATTAAATAATCGTTCATTAAATCACAATCGAGTTAAAATTTTCAATTAATTGAAATTTAGATTTTAGCCCAGCCCTCCCGCTACTTTTGTAATTTTTCTTATTAGTAAAAAAAAATCACTTCGTCCCTTTTTATTATTATAAGTCAAAAAGGCAGCTAGCTCTCTGCAACTCTCACATGGTCGCCCACTGAAGCTAAGCAGGGCTGCGCCCGGTCAGTACCTGGATGGGAGACCACTTGGGAAAGCTAGGTTGCTGCCGGAAGTGGTGTTAGTGAGGCCAGCAGGGGGTGCTCAACCTGCGGTCTGTGTGGGTCCTAATGCCCCAGTATAGTGACGGGGACTCTATACTTCTCAGTAAGCGCCGTCTTTCGGATGAGACGTTAAACCGAGGTCCCGACTCTCTGTGGTCGTTAAAAATCCCAGGATGTCCTTCGAAAAAGAGTAGGGGTTTAACCCCGGCATCCTGGCCAAATCTGCCCACTGGCCTCTGTCCATCATGGCCTCCTAAACCTCCCCATATCATGATTGGCATATCATCACTCTGTCTCCTCTCCACGAATCAGCTGGTGTGTGGTGTGCGGTCTGGCGCAAAATGGCTGCCGTCGCGTCATCCAGGTGGATGCTGCACACTGGTGGTGGATGAGGAGATTCCCCCCCCATTGTGTAAAGCGCTTTGAGTGCCCAGAAAAGCGCTATATAAATGTAACGAATTATTATTATTATTATTATTTAAAAAATTATAAATATATATACACTGTCCATTGAGACATTCCCCTTTTGCTTTTCTTCGATGTGTTCAAATTAATCAATGCATTCTTTCATTGAATGTGGGATTCAACTACATTAATTTAGCAATTTTTTAAAAGGCTAATTCTTAAAAATAAAAAGTAATTCATTGTTTTGAAAAGTAACTCAAAGATCATTACTTGTTTTTTTTTTTTTAAAGTGATATGTTACTTTACTCAATACTTAATAAAGTAATATTAATACATAACTTGCATTACTTGTAATGCATTACCCCAACACTGGTTATGTATACAGTACATGTTCATCACTGAAACAACAGGCCTTGACAACTAACTTCTTCTTTAACTAACTATCTATTCCTTTCTGTTTTTCCTTAAGGATTATGCACAGCACAGGTTCGACACCTATTTCAAACAGAAGAAGCTCATTTCCTAAAATTGCACGTAGAGTGTGGACTTCAGGATCTCCTGTTGCAACACATAGTTTAGACGTGGATTTTGTTTTATTATTATTTTTTAACTATTTAAGAGAGGGCACAGTACAAAATGAATATGACTGAAGAATGGTTGACCTAACCTGAGATCTTAGGTCTACAATGTTTTATAGGGCTCTTCCCTAATAAAAAATGACAAATTTGCAATTCTTGATTGCAATCTTAATATAATTCATTTACTGCTTGAACCTATACGAGAAAAACTGTAAAATGTATTTTATTTATAATTATAATAGCTGCTTTGTTTTTTACCTTATCCTACACGTGTGGTCAACTGTTAATTATCAGTTAATATCTATTGATTCTATTAAGAATCAGCCTGCCCTTCATCGATTCTGTGTAAAACCACAGGGTCCAAATAATATCTCTGCATTTTAATGTCCTTGTTTCATTTACTACCTTTGTCAATATTTGTTTGTTTATTTATGTTTGTTTATTCTGTCATTCTGAGGAAAAAATGGAGGATGGGAAACTATTCATCCTCCCCCAGAGTTGGGAAGAACTACTTACAACTATCATGTTGCATCCATATATCTACAAACTGTGAAATGTATTGCACCCATTTTTTTAAGCTCAGGATTTCCATGTTAATTTGTTTCAGAATGGCACATGAACTACTGTTTCTTCGTCTTGAAATGATATGGCTGTTTTTCATTTAGCAATTGTAAAAAATATTGAGCTTTGCCTTTTTGCATTTTCCTTAGGATTTGACCAATCTCTGCTCTGCCATATTGATATGTAGCAATAACTATCTCTACAACCGTCTTGTATTAATTGTACATGCACATCATTTCTTGAGGTTAAACTTGGCTGTATGTACTGACAAAATGCATCTGTCACATTTCTAAATATGAAGAAGTGCTAAAGTTTTCCTTTGTTTGAATTGTTTTATGCTTATTTTAATATCTGTTTTATTTGTCCAAAGCAAGTGTAGTTTGTTTAGTTCAACAAAATGTAAAATTAATTTCTACATGAACTAAATACAGCGAATGGGTGGGATCATCACGTTCAAAAATACTTACAGTACTTTAAAGAAATCAAATTGAGAGCATCTGACGTGTGATGCTCTTGTATTTGTCTGTGCCGAATAAACACTGAGGAGTGTTTTGGGGTCAGCCACTCTAACAAGCACCCAGCCTCATATTCTTAATATGATGTTGA